TGTAACAGTAGATACCTCTATCTGTAATGAATGACGTCTTTTCTTGATCTTCGGGGTTCATTATTATTTGATTATAACCCGAGAAGGCGTCCATGAATGTTAACAACTCGTTCCCAGCGGTGGACTCTACAAGTCGATCTATATGTGGGAGCGGGAAACTATCTTTGGGACATGCTTTATTTAGGTCTGTGAAATCGATGCAAACCCTATCTTTCCCGTTCTTCTTTTTGACGACGACAGTGTTTGCTATCCATTCTGGGTATTGCACTTCTCTTATGGATCCTATCTTCAAAAGTTTATCTACTTCGTCATTTACTATTTTGGCTCGCTCCACTCCGAGCTTTCTTCTTTTCTGTTTCACCGGTTTGAAGCTCGGATCTACGTTCAGCTCGTGACAAATTATACTTGGATCTATACCAGGCATGTCCGCTGCTGACCATGCAAATGATGCTTTGTTTTTCCTTAAGAGTTCGATCAAAGCTTCTTTTATTTGGCCAGTCAAAGTTGCTCCAATTAGAATTTTCCGATCTGGTTTGTCTTCTTCCAATACCACTTCGACTACCACATCCTCTTTTTCCTGCCCACTAGGAAATTTTTGCCTTAGTCCTTCTTTTGCGGGCTTTGTTAATTGCTATTGGATCTTCAAACGGTGGCTAGCTAAGTAACACGTCCGTGAAGCTTCTTGATCTCCCCGAATTGTTTCCACCCCATTTGATGTTGGAAATTTGATACATTGATGATATGTAGAGGGGACTGCTTTCATTCGATAAATCCAGGGAGTCCCGAGGATAATGTTGTAAGCTGCGGGTTTATCGAAGACAACGAAGTCCACGATCTTCGATACTTTTTTGGCAAGGACCGGTAGCTTGATTGTCCCGAGAGACATGGCTGATTCACTTGTGAATGCAACTAATGGAGACGGAGGCCCCACTATGTCTGCTCGGCTGATTCCCATTCTTTCTAAAGTACTTAAAAAGATCAGGTCGACCGAACTGCCTGTATCTATAAGGATCCTTGATACTTCGAAGTTAGCCACGTCAAGGGTAATGACTAGAGCATCATCATGCGGTCTTTCGAGGTACCGCATTTCTTCTTCATTAAATGATATCGATGCACCTTGAAAATCGACTTCCTCGCTTAAACTTGCTTTGAGTAGGATATTTCGTCTATGCTTTTTGATGGAACTTATTGAATCTCCGCAAAATCTGGAACCTCCTAGAATCACATTGATCTTACCCTTCGAACTTCTTGGTTCTTCCTCGTTGGATAACCTTGGTCTTTTGGAATCTTGATCTTTGGAGTTTTCCTTTGCTTCGTGGTATTCCTTCACAAAATCTTTTATATCGAATTTAGAAAGATCGCCACTAGCCCAAAGCTCTGCGAGGTGCTTTTTAAGAACGCTGCAATCCTTGGTTAAATGTCCGGTTACTTTATGAATGTCACAATATAGACTTTCATCACGGACCCAAGTGTTTGATCTCCCTTTCCCTTGGAATTGCTTTCCGACGGTATTGTTGAAGGGTTGCGACCCAAACTTCTTTGGTCCTTTGCTCTCCCTAGGCTAGAATTTCCTAGCAGGGACGGTGATTGCTAGCTTTTCTTGCTTATTTCTTTTGGCAAAACTTTCTTTTTCGTCCTCTACCTCCATCCAGTTGTTCGCGCGAAAGAGTGCATCCTGAATTGTGTCTGGTTTATGAAGTATTAAGTCTTCTTTAAACCTTGAATCATGTCTTAATCCTTTTCGTAGGGCAGATAAAGCTGATTGCTGCGAGATTCTTGGGAGCTTTGACAGCACTCCTTTGAATTTGGTGATGAAAACTCGAAGTGACTCATTAGATCCTTGCGATAAGTTCCAAAGATCGGCATCCGAAACACTTTTATCCATAAGAATGGAATATTGCTTTAAGAACACGGCTGATAGTTCGTCGAAATTACTGATCGAACCCGGCTCTAATTGGGTGAACCACATTAGAGCTTGGCCACACAGATTCTCCGAGAAAAGCTTGCAGTAACCTGCGTCCTCATCAGCTTCATCCAACTCGACTCTTCCAGCAGCGATCAGAAAAGCTGCGAGATAGCTTTTTGGATCCTCCAATCCGCTGTAAGGGTCCAACTTGAGTTTCCAGGAATCTTTGATCCTCAAACTTGCAATTCGCGAGATGAAAGGTGTTCGCCTAGCTTCTTCAATGACTCGACTGATGTCTGGCTCTGAGCTTGTAGCTTGATGAAATTTTGATTTCATTTCTTTTAATTCCTGGCTAACCTTCCTCATGGTCTCGAACTGGTCGAGGTTCTCCTGCTCGTACTGAGCTGCGAGTTGTTCTTCATCCTCAAGCTGTGTATCTTCTTCCAACGTCTGGGCTACATTGTTAGTAGCGCCGGGAGTTGTTTGTCCGCTGGTTTCATTTCGTGCAGCGGAACTTGGCGAGTTGAATATCCCTCTTCGGATTCCCGCAAGGTTTCCTGCACTTAAAGAACGAACACGAGTTTGTATAGTATTGACGTTTTGGCTAAGAGATACCTGGGATGTTTGCAACGTATCGACGGCTTTTTCCACATCCGAGAACTTTTGTGATATGTCCGACATGGTTTGCTGCATAGCTTTGAGGGTTTCAGCCAATGATGTCTCAACGGTGTCTCCTCCGGACATTGTTGTTTATCTCGGAAGTGTGATAAAGGAAAAATCTGACCACTCAAGAATCCTTAATCTCCCCACAGATGGCGCCAAAATGTGGATGTCGGATTCACACACTCAAGTATTTTATTATGTAGGAAAGATTATTCTTGAGGGACAAAAAATGAATGTGTCAAAAGATTGTAAGTTGCTACGAAAATTGCTATGATAATATTTCTTGAGATGAAGATCCCTTTACATGGCCATTGGCCTTTATATTTATACAAAGAGAATTGACATTAAAATGAATAATTAAGTACAATTATTCCCTCTTAAATGTGTCCGTTTTGATTCTTCGACTTTTAATGCTCAACGTTTGAATTTGAGTTGACTCTGATCTTCATGGGCCTCGCCTTTCTGGCCCAAGCGTCCCCGAACCGACTTGCCCGCATCTTTCACACCGAACTCGTGTCTCAGTGCAGCCACTTCGAATTCTCGAAGAGGTGACAACCACCTCGTCCGTTCCTTCGGCTCATGGGTCCAATGGGCTTTATCCCTTATGGGCCATTATCTTGACTACGTGGCAATCTTTGGTTGGTCTCGGACTTCTAGTGCGGGATCCGACACCAACACACACTATTAGATTCATCCAATCAGGCTTATCGCCACTACGCGCCCATATCCTCATAAACGCACGCATCTGGTCCCGGAATATCGTTCTAGCCACCAAATTGAACTGGGTCCAAACCGTTTATGTATGCATTGGTTCCCACGTGTATTTACTCTACAATGAAAGAAAAGATCGTGAATTCGGTTTTCTGTTTTAGTGTGCTCTATATCAAATATCGAAGCTTACCGCGAGGAGCTTAAACCATCGTCTCTTAACATCCTCGGGAATCAAGCGGTAGGTCGGCCACTCATGGTGCCAGTTGTGCTGGAGTATCTCTGCAATCGCGACAGAGAGATCGTGATTGAACTTGAACCACGTAACAGTGGTTTTGTCAATCCAGTAACCAACACCCGGGGTTAGAACGGGAAGATTCTCCCGACCATCAGCGATAATGATCGCTACAACCTCGCCGAAAAACTTTAGATCGAGGTGAGGAACAACGTCCATGTCGATTGGAAGATGTACGGGAGATATTTTGTGTAGGGGATTGGAGTCTGGAGACGAAGACGAACAAGAGACGATGAGATGAAAAAGAGACGAAGGCGAACTGATCTGATATATATAGAAAAAAGGGAATGGTATACGAAAGGTTGCGCATCTTACTCTTCCGGCGGCAAAAATGTACATGTGACGGCTGAGTTATATGCTTAACGGAAGACGAAAGGTTGCGTGACGGCTGACTTTTGAGTTAGAGTTTGATGTCTGGCTGTAGAATAATATGTAATGGCTGAGATATTTACGTTCTACGGCTGAGCTACGGCTTAGATAAGTTTAATAGTACCATACCATTATAACAATAAATATACATGTGAATATACTGTTAAGATTTTATAAATCTTTAACTTGAGATATGTGTTGGAAACTGTAAATATATCAAATCATTGTGATAATTGCTTTTCCAAGTTCAATGCTAATGTCAGTAAATAAGTAATCATCATTTATAGAAGTTTTCGCGTTTTTAAGACTCAAACGTGACATGGCTGATGTACCACAGATGAATTCGTGGTTTGGCCGAGATGTCTATATTATTTATCGACAAGATGACCTTAACTCAGTTATGAATATGGTGAAAATCACGAATTATATCTACGTTAAGTCAGCCATGACACTGTCATAACTCGGCCAAACCACGAATTAATCTGTGTTTCATGATCATTATGATACAGTCATGTAATTTACTCAGATTAATGAGATGTAATTAAATTTTTATATCCACTTTCCAAATAATGATCATGAAATAAGCCCATTGTTAAATTTTATTATAAAACAGCCGTAACTTGACCTTAACTCAGTTATGATTATAGTGAAAATCACGAATTATATCTACGTTAAGTCAGCCATTACACTGTCATAACTCGGCCAAACCACGAATTAATCTGTGTTTCATGATTATTTTGAATACTTTCTCAAAAATGTGGTCATTTATGACTGGTTCGACGACTTGCCGTCTGCGGGTGAATATGTCAGTAATTATTAATGGCGTCTCCCAAAAAACCACTTTATGTAATCTCGAAAATTAATATGTATAAATTAATGGGATGTTCGTAAGACAGCTGTAACTCAGCCAGTACTGGTATGTCTCGAACGACGTAGTTTTATTAGTATACATGACTATATTGATTTAGTGAGTTTAAGAACACCTAGAGTCATCATTTAGACATTTATCCCAAAATAAACAATTAGGGTTCTTCGTCTGTCTCCGAATAACGAGAGAAGATGGAATTAAGCTCTGGATCGACGAGTAGCTTTGGGAGTAATTCTGGAGTTCGGAAACTGTGTGAATGTGGATTGCCGGCAAAGGTCTTCAAATCCAAAACGGATAAAAATCCAAATCGAAGGTTCTTTGGGTGTCAGTTGTACAAGGAAGGTGGTAATGCTCACTGCAAATTCTTTAGGTGGCTCGACGAGGAGGTCATAGGGTGGCCGAAAAGGGCGTTGGCAGAAGCTCAATCTGTAATTAAAGAGAAGACTGAGAAGATTGAAGAACTTAATGCGACAATTTTGGAGCTTCGTGGTGATTTGGAGAGGCAAAACTTGGAGATATCATCAATTAATACAGAAGATGAGAAGATTTCGATTGAGCTTGGATTACAGAAAAGGATTGACGAAATGGAAACAATAGTTTATCGTCAACGCATCGTCATCAAGGGATTGACAGGATTGCTTGTATGTGTCGTATCAGCCATTGTCTTTTGTATTGTTAGTGATGTTTGAATTTTATTTGGCTTGTTAGTAATGCTTTTTGTTATTGTTGTTTGTTTGAATTTTGCCATATAAACGTACATAACTCAGCCGTACAAAAGTAATTTACTTAGCCGTTAAATGTATAAAAACTCAGCCGTGACATCCAAAATTACTCATAAGTCCGCCGTGTCACTGGAATAACTCGGCTAAAAGTAAATAACTCAGCCGTTAAATGTATAAAAACTCAGCCGTGACATCAAAAATTACTCATAAGTCCGCCGTGTCGCTGGAATAACTCGGCTAAAAGTAAATAACTCAGCCGTTAAATGTATAAAAACTCAGCCGTGACATCAAAAATTACTCCCGCCGTGTCGCTGGAATAACTCGGCTAAACCACGAATTCATCTGTGTTAAGTCAGCCATATCGCTAGAATAACTTGACATAAATTCAGTAACATAGATTCATTAACATAGATTCAAAAAAAAAAAAAAAAAAACAAATAGAATGGATATCTCCATTCTTAGTCTGATTCCGACTCCGACAACTCGGTCGGCTTAAACCCCAGTTTGTCCCAGTTGATCCCCGTCACGTTGAATGCCACCTTCTCCTCGTAAGCCTTCCTTGCCTGCTCCTTCACGATCTGGAACTCCTGCTCCACGTTAAATCCGTCCTTCAAACTCATCATCTTCCTTAGGAGATCCAGTTTCGCATTCTCCTCACGTAGTGTGAGATCCAAAGCGTGGGCTTCCTCCGTCTTTTTCATGTTGTGTTTGATGAGAGAGATGATGCCTTCGAAACGTTCTTTCTGCTCTTGCATCTCCACTGCATGCCTCCTGCTGCGAGAACCGTCTTCAACACGCGTCCTCTTGCTGCTAGACCCTGATGCATCCATGATCGACAAGAGGAAAGACAAGAGAGATTATATAGATTAGTTGCTAATAATCAAGAAGAGAAAAGACGAGAGAGAATTGTTTTACAAGAGTTATATTTAGAAGAGATATATAAGGGTATCTAGGTATAATGATAACTTGAGTGGGTAGTTATTCGAGGTGGGGAGTTATCGAGGTGGGGAGTTATACAACATTTGTATAACTCGACAATAATAAACTCCTAATAAACCATAACTCAGCCGTGTTGTTAGATTATCTCACCCAAACAACGAATTAATAAACATCAATCCAGACGCATCACACAAACCTAAAGCATTATCAACCCCATACATAATCATCACGAGAACTCAAAAGCATAAATAGTTAGTACAAAAGACAATCACATGTTCGAAACACTAATATTTTACATATCATCATAATGTATCATTGGACATCAAACGCAGCGAGCAGGTCAGGTGCCTCATCATAGATCTCTGTTGCCATCTTAACCCCTATAGCCTGAATATTTTCATCACAGATGCCAACGAAACTTACACCAAGCGCTAGACATTCGATAAATTTCAACGCGTACACGCCACAGTCTCCAACTTGGACGTTCTGAGGGACCCTCGATTTATTCCTCCTTCTGAATGAAAACTGCTCGAACCTAGGTGAATAGATTTCAGGAGGAATTATTTCATTCATCATCTGAGGAATCATCCTCGTAAACGGCCTACAAGCCTCCAGCACAGATAATTCACTTTCCTTGGTATGATGCCCCACGATGCTATCATAGCAATCAATGTGCCCCCTAATCAGGTCCACGTCCAGCGCCACCCAGTGATTGCCTCCGATTTGGTGAACTATATACAAGTGATCCACATCTTCTATCCATTTCATATTTGTCTGCTGATCTTTTGGCTCCAAACCGTGTACCAGCCTCTCGTAAGGGGTGCCTTTGAATTTAAACCTCTCGGGTTTTATCTTGAACTGGTCATACTCTTTACACCAGTAGCTCACGAACCACGAGTCTATAAACGCAATGCGTTTGGTGTGGAATGGGAAGGGAACTCGCGTGATGAACCTCTTTCTAAGAACCCTCAAATACGCAGCAATATGCTGCACACAAAAAAAAAGAAGAAAAAAATAACAACTCAGACAAAACATAACAATATCTCAGACATAATGTATAAAAACATACCAATAACTCAGCCATAATGTTGAAAAAACACAATAATAACTCAGCCATTATCTAGAAAATCTCAGCCAAAACACACCAATAACTCAGCCAAAACACACCAATAACTCAGCCAAAACAAACCAATAACTCGGCCACAACACTTACAATAACTCAGCCATAATGTTATACTTACGTCATCGAAAAGCAATCCATAATTTGGATCTGGCCAGTCCTTTCTTTCGGTGATGAGCACAATGTAGAAATCAACAGTGTCTGTTGCCCTGCCCAATGGGAGATGCCTAACAGATAAACACAAGTTAATATACATAAATAGTGTAAACAAGCCGTAATTAACAAGGTTAAAAGGTATAGAGGGTCATACTTGAATGGGGCCATCATTTCCTTCAGTTTCTGCAATTTGGCCGGATCAACTGGTGACAGAGGATCATATATTCCAGCTGAAGGCACACAATTCTTCCTCATGCACGTCAGTCCGTTGTCTCCGATATGAGGAAATATCCGTTCAGAGACATTAGAGAGTGGATTCAATGCACTCCCATCCGGAGACAGCTTGACACTCTCCTTCCTTAGAGCGTTGATTCTTTCAATCCTTATACGTTCCTCTTCATCATCCTCAGACTCAGGTAACGTGCGTGCGTTACCAGCCATCAACTGGTCTGTGACATCATATACCTCATTGTCACCTTTAATGCCAGCCTTTTCCAATACTTCCTCATCTTTGTCGGGGACATCAGCAGGCTCTTTCTTCTCATCAAGAGCAGCTCCTCCCTCTACTGGAGCAATAGCTAGTTTTCGTACCACCTTTTTAACCGTTGTAGAAGAAGGCTTCCTACCTCTTCTACGTCCGACTGCTGCCTGATCTTTGGGGGCCTTATCTTTAATGGGCTTATCCTTGCCGGTATTCTTCTTTCCCGCTGCTGCGATTTTCGCTGTGTCAATTTTCCTGGAGCGTAATTTCCTAATATTATTAGGTAACGTATCTATGAAATCAATAGCAGATTTTCCATCAATGACATTATCAAATTCCTTTTCCAGATTCTTACTGACACCAGCAATACCAATGTCCTTCTCAACATCGACAGTATCCTTCGCCTGCATAAACATACCGATAACTCAGCCATAAGATAAAGATAACTCCGCCGTTAGGTGATTAATATAATAATAACTCAGCCATAATGTGATTAAGATAATGATAATCAGCCGTAATATAATGATAACTCAGCCTTAAGGTGATTAATATAATGATAACTCAGCCATTATGTGATCAAGATAATGAAAACTCAGCTACAAGGTTATTAAGATAATAATAACTCAGCCGCAATGTATTTATACATATGTCTGGCACTGTTAGCTTACCAGAGGACTAGTAACAGACTGGTTTTGTGGAGGTTTCGCTGGACCTTTTGGTGTTGCTTTTTCTTTTTGATTCAGCAAAAGGTCGACTTGCGTCGGCTTTTCGGGAGGTTCTGTTTGTTTGAAGGCTGAGTTTTCCTCAGCGTTTTCACCAGATTTCCCTACCCCCTGCTCAATTGCATTCAGACGCTCTTTCATCTGTTTCAACTCCTTCTCCGTATATTCAAACTTTTCATCCATCCTCGCTTCTACTCTATCTCCAATCACCTTCTCCATATTTGAAGACACTTCTTTGATGCTTGTATCAATGGTGTCAAACCTTGAGTTTAATTGCTTCACCAAATCCACGACTGTTTTAACAGACACATCTTCCAGAACATCGTCCTCCGCACTACCAACCTGCAACACATACACAAAAACGCATAAACAAGCTACCCAAACATTGCATCAAATATAAACTCACTACATACCATATCATTTACCTTTTCTTCTTTCTTCTTCTTCTTCTTCTTTTGTACATCTCCTTCATAAGATTCACCACCCTCATGTTTTTCCACCAAATCACTTACATTTCTTTCTTTCTTCTTCTTCTTCTTCTTCTTCTTTTCTGCATCTCCTTCACCAGATTCAACACCCTCACTGTTGATCACATCCTTGACATTGTGGACTTTCTGCCTCTTTGCGGGAGATTCAGAGTCACCCGCTGCATTAGAATTTACATTTTTCTTCTTCTTCTCAGTCTTCTTCACATCCCAATAACCTTTAATAAACTTATCCTCATGTATGTCTCGGATCAAATTATCAAGTGCTGGGTCCTCTTCTTCATCTGGCCACGTATGAAATAGCTCTTTGACATCATCCTTCATAACCAATTTACTCACACGCAGCTATAAGATAGGAGATTATAAAACCCATTAGTAAGTTTAAACTGAATCATCAATAATTATAACTCAGCCATCACTAACCATCACTAATATAACTCAGCCATCCATAAATCATAACTCAGTCATCAAAAACGATAACTCAGCCATCACAAAATTTAACTCAGCCATTACTAAACATAACTCAGTCAGTAACTATCATAACTCAGTCATCAAAAACGATAACTCAGCCATCACAAAATATAACTCAGCCATTACTAAAACATAACTCAGTCAGTAACTATCATAACTCAGTCAGTAACTTTCATAACACAGCCAAAACCTTACCTCACCATGCGCTTTGATATCTTCAGCAATGGTCAATTCCATTGTTTTACGTGTACGGTTTCCACCCCAACGAAGCAACGGTATCTCATCCTTGTTGACTACTCTCCCATATCGCTCTCCAAAGCATTTGACTGAATCATACGCCAAAGCCTGTAACACGTAAACCATACCACTGACGGTGTACGTCTTTCCAACAGGCCTCAACATCTTTATAGAATTAACCAGGGCTTCAAATGCTGACCGACCCCATGGATAAGTGTTCATGGCTTCCTCATCAAAAACTATTTTCGCACTTTCAAATGGTATTCTAGAGTTATGATGCAAGCCATACAGTCCAATGGCTTGAAGAGTCAACAGCCCCAACCACTTACGCTTTTCAGGAGTCCATGTCCTGCACA